TTTTTAAAGATTTTATTTATTTATTTGAGAGAGAGAATGAGAGAGAGAGAGCACATGAGAGGAGGGAGGGTCAGAGGGAGAAGCAGACCCCCTGCTGAGCAAGGAGCCTGATATGGGACTCGATCCGGGGACTCCAGGATCAAGCCGAAGGCAGTCGCTTAACCAACTGAACCACCCAGGCGCCCTATTTTTTATTTTTTTTATGTTTTTAAGATTTTATTTATTTATTTGACAGAGAAAAACACAGCGAGAGAAGGAACACAAGCAGGGGAAGTGGGAGAGGGAGAAGCAGGTTCCCCACCGAGCAGGGAGCCTGATGTGAGGCTCAATCCCAGGACCCTGGGATCATGACCCAAGCCAAAGGCAGACGCTTAGGGACTGAGCCACCCAGGCGCCCCAAGGCAGTTGATTTTAAATAAGGCACCAAAGTAATTCAATGGTGAGTCTTTTCAACAAATGGTGCTGGAACACTCAGAACCCATAGAAAAAAATGAACCTTCATACCATATTCAAAAACAAACTTGAAATTGATCTAAGAGTTAAAACTGTAAAATTTCTAGAAGAAAAGACAGGAGGAGACCCTTGTGACCCTGGGTTAGGTAAAGACTCCTTAGATACAACACAAAAGGCTAAGCCATAAAAGCAAAATATTGATAAATTGGACTCCATCAAATACCTAACATTTGCTCTCTGAAAGACAAGAGTGAGAATGAAAAGGCAAGCCACAGACCAGGAGAGTATTTGTAAATCATATATCTGATAAAGGGTTGGTTTTTAGAATATTTTATAAATAACATTTACAATTCAATAATAGAAAGACAAACAGCCCAATTAAAAAATTCAACAGACATAAAAAATACAGGCAACTTAAAATAAAAGAGGACATGCTATGGGGACATGGAAAGCCAGCCCGAGAGGTGGGGGCAGAAATCACAGGCAAGGGGAAGAAAGAAACAAGTGGCTGAAAGACGGCATCTTTGTAACAGTTACCACAAGGCAATCACAGGGCAAAAGGGGCCAACAAATCTCAAACATCAGGGAGGTATGAAGTCAGCTGTTCCCTTGGGAATATATTGTACTAGTCTAAAGATATAAAAAGGAGCTGGATCAACGTTGAGGTCTGATTATTCTAAAAATTGTGATAGAATAAACCTTTTCCTAAGAGATTCTTTCTTGTGGTTGAATAATATGAGAGAAGGAAATACGCCTTCACAGTAAAACTTAAGCCAATAGTTGGCATCTGCAAGATCTCTTTTAGTCATGGCCCCAGGTAAGAAAATACCCTCATTTGTTTGGTCTTTGTAAGCTAGCATGGAGCCATCGGGCACCAAAATGACAGAATGTTTGGAATCACAGCATGCTGTAACTGGAAGGAACTATGGATTAGTTTTCTAATGCTGTGTAACTAATTGCCACAAACTTCGTGGCTTAAAATAAAATAAATGTATGATCTCCTAGTTTCCATGACTCGAGTACACGCATAGCTTAGGAGGGTCCTTGGCTATCAAAGGCTATCACAGGCTGAGATCAAGGTGCCATCTGGAGCACAGGTTTCTCTTCCAAGTTCACTTAGGTTGTTGGGAGAATTCAGTTGTAGGGCTGAGATCTCACTTTTCCTGCTGGCTACTGACTGGGGGGTGGGGGTCACTCTCGGCTTCTAAAGGCTGCCCAAGGGTCCTAGCCCCATGGACCTCCCCTAATATCGCAGCCTACTTCATCAAGCCAGCTGGAGAACTCTCCAGTGTGCTCTCAGGGAGTCTTATAATCATATAGCCATGATTAATCATTTATTCAAGGGAGTGACTAACCCATTACCTTAGCCATATACTGTAACCTAATTAATAGAGTGGCTAATTCATCACGTACTCTCCTATCCCTGCCTGCACTTAGCAGGACGGGGTTACACAGTTGTGTACATCAGCGGACAGCAATATTGGGAGCCATCTTAGAATTCTGTTGACCAAAACCATCAACACCAATCACTGCAACATTCTTTCTTCACAGATAGGGGAAACTGAGGCCCACGGAGGAAAACAGTAAATTACCCAAAGAGTCAGGACAGAAAGAACTAGATCCTGTCTCCAAAATTTCTGTCTAGAGCCTGCCACTCTTCCAAGCTTCCTTCTACCATCTGGCATGGTTGAAGATAAGGTTGTTTTTCGGGAAAGAAGGGGAAAAAAGCACCACGATAGTCAGCTAGACCACGAACCATTATGTAGATTCTAGGACCCTCAGGGAACGCAGAAAGAACACTCACCTGAAGGGTGCTGGCGTGCTGACTCAGCGCCTTTGAAGAATCATAGTCAGCAGGATTGGCCAGCAAACGGCCAGTATTTTCTATCCAAGCCTCAGTACTCCTCAAAAGGTCGTGATATTCCTCCATCTTAATTGTGGCCTGTGAAAGAGAGGCCGTAGCAAAGAGTCTGACACCTTCTCCTTGAGTCAAAGGAGTCTTGAATGAAGAATTTGTTACTGCTAATCAGGCCGTGCCTGGGGGGACTCGCCCACACCCTCCAGGTTTTGACCTTTCTAACTTTTAAGACAAATAATCCTGACCATACATGGAAAGGACTTAAGAAGTTCTACCCTAATGCTATGGGTCTCAGTAACAGTTCCCAGGTAGCCTTGCAACTCGTCTGGTTCCCATTTTATGCTTCATTCTCAAAACTGGATTTGAGTTTTGTCCTCCCATACGGGGCCTTTTCCTCTAATATCCCAGTTTGTCTGGGCCTAGGCTCCTGCCTCGTTCTTGCTAGATCACATGTACAACTCACCCACCACGACCCCTACTTGGAAAGGTGGGAGACAGTGTCTTGTTCCTGAATGACATTCTTTCTTGTGGCTGGCTCCCCTCAGGAATTCTTGAGATTGCCTGTCGGAAATGCCCATGACCTACTGGGAAGCCCAATGCTCAGCGGGACTCTTGCAGCAGTCTGGCTCCTGGACACTTGCTTCCGCCTGTCCAGGCAGACTTCCTGCTGGTGTCAGCTGTTAAATCTATCCTCCCGGTGCCCACCTGAACCTGTCGTGTGGCTCTAGCTTCAGTACCTTAAACTGGCAATTGAAGAGAAACTGGCTGTCTCTGAATATCTACTTTCATTTTGTTTCAAAGCCTTCTCAATACCGCAAGCTAAGGGTAGTTATCACGTGTTACTCTCATACCTTATTTAACTGTGAGGTTCTAGATTCCGCTCTCTGTGAGACTTGCTGATACTGCTGGAAAGGAATCATCAAGTTATCCATCCATTCTTGAGCCTGACCTGGATCCTGTTCAACAATGTCCTGCACTTCAGAATCCAGCTCATTTAGCTTGGAATGCCAGAGGTCTAGCTCGTCCCACATTTTCTGGAGAAGAAAATCATAGTCACTTTGAATGCAGAGGCCCTGACTCGTGTTAATTCCTAGCTTTTGCACCATATTTGCACTTGTGAATGCTACTAAAACATCACAGGCACGCTATTTCACTTATGCCCAGAAACCACTTGTGACCTAAATTGAAAAACACCTTTTCTGAGGTCTCTTAGTCTAACTGTATTCGTTTCAGGTACAGAATTAGCTGCAAGAGTGCAGAGAGACCTGGACATTTCCAGAGACAAATGACACCAAACAAGGTCAATATAACCCTACTCTTTCAAGAGTGATGAGGTAACATTATGTTATACCCGAACCTTTTTAGACCATATATATGTGTGTGTGTGTGTGTGTATTTAATCTAGAAAACAATTTCATTAAGTGTAAAAATAGGGGTGTGTGGGTGGCTCAGTTGGTTTTAGCTCAGGTCTTGATCTCAGGGTCTTGAGTTCAAGCCTGCATTGGGCTCCACATTGGGCATGGAACCTACTTTAAAAAAAAAAAAGTATAAAAATAAAACTAACAAAAAGTTTTGACCTAGGATTAATGCAGTGGGAAAAAATTTAGTGACTGCTTTTGGCTTCAAGAATCCAGTAGATTGGATTCAAACCTGGACTTGCATGGTCAGAGAAACTCTCAAAGGTAAAATATTTAATTCTTATTTAGTATTTGCTTAAGAACCAAATTTTTAGAAATAGGAAAAATGTACTTTAGGTTCCTCTACTTATTAAGAATCAAGGGGCACCTGGGTGGCTCAGTCGTTAAGCGTCTGCCTTCGGCTCGGGTCATGATCCCAGGGTCCTGGGATCAAGCCCCGCATCGGGCTCCCTGCTCTGTGGGACGCCTGCTTCTCCCTCTCCCACTCCCCCTGCTTGTGTTCCTTCTCTCACTGTCTCTCTCTGTCAAATAAATAAAATCTTAAAAAAAAAAAAGAATCAAGATTTTGTCCAATGGTGAGGCATATTCTAACCTATTTTTAAAAGTCTCCATTCATATAAAATACTTCCTTAAAATTTAGATTAGAGTAAGAATGCTTTCCACATGCTGAAGTTTACTAGGGAGTTAACGGTAGAAAATCATGCTTATATACAGTTTTACCTAACACTTGATTTCCTAAGATATTTTACAAGGAAAATAAATTTGGAATTTCTATTTTCCTGTTTCTCCTTGTAGTCTAAAGAAAAGCTGTTAATTCTATTCAAATCCTATTGAAATATATTTTTTAATCAAATACGTTTCAGAAATGTTCTGTATTATATTCCCCATGTTAATAATCCACCTTAGAAAACAAAGACTCCAAGAAATGCTCAAACATAGAAACATGTTAGCTTTGTTTTTTATATTTGATATTTATATATAATATTTTTTATATCAGTCTTCCCAGGATAAGGTCATTACTCTCCTTTACTTGTGAAAAGGTTGGTTCACAACTGCAGGCTCTCAGGGGTTCAGGCATATTCCCACCATGGAAAAACTGAGAACAGTTCTTGGGGAGCCTGGATGGCTCAGTCAGTTAAGTGTCCGACACTTGGTTTCGGCTCAGGTCATGATCTCAGGGTTGTGAGGTTCTGTGCTGGGCATGGAGCCTGCTTGGGAGTTTCCCCCACCCTCTCTCTCTGCCCCTCCCCCTCCCCCAAAAAAAACCAACAACTGAGAACAGTTCTTAAATGCAACTTCCTCCACCAAGCTTCTGCAGGGGACACTCAGTAAGGGGGACCCTGTGGATCTGGATTAGGATCTCTGTGCTTTGGATTCATCCCATAGAGCACACCCTGAGGACTGAGGAACAGGAGGAACACCAAATGCAGAGGGAAATTAAAGGAGGGTGTTACCTTTTGAATTTCTTGAGCTTTCTCAATATTTTTGCTTTTCTGCTGCAGCATCTTTTCAACATTGTGAAGCCCATTGTTAATTTCCTCTATTTTCCTACTCATTGTATATGAGGGTGAACTTTTCAAAACTTCATTACTAATCTGTTACAATGAAAGAAAGACATATTTGGCTCACAGATGTCTTCAATACTCTAGCCAGTGTTCAGGTGGAAAAATGGATAGTCACACTGTTAGGCAATTTTATTTATAGGCTAGGGGGAACATCCCAAACCCTACTAGCTAATACGTTAATGAGAGAGTAGATTAGCAGACTAGGAAATGGTGCCTGTGCTGACCTGACCTTTTAAATCCAATCTAAAAAAAAGGAAAATAAAATCAACAAACAAAAATTTGTTGAACGTAATCCACAGTATGTACTACAGATCTGTGTGGAGTACACTCAAACTATGAGTGTACTGTCTGAGACATACCCCAATGGAGCAAATGATATGAAAAAATTCAAGGGGGATAAGCGTTCATTATACAGTCTCTCATTTTATGAGAAAGACCCCTGCACAGCACTGTTTTCAATAAAACCTAACTTATTCTCAAGCTGACTTAAAAAAATCTAATCCCCACCGTAATATTCATTTGGGTGAAATAACCTAAAACTCGCTCTTCCTTGAGGATGCACAAAGCTTAGTTTTTCTCTGTGTGAATGTTTCTAGTATTATGTTTTCACAGCAATCAGAAATCTAGCTGCTAAACAGTGTAATTTTTTTATCTGAATGATTTTTTAAGAAAATAACTTGGGCTAGGAATGATAACAGATGAATGTTGACTATGTCATTTTTCAAATACCTGATTAGTTCTTGTTCTTGGTTTTTTTTTTTTTTTTAAGGCTATGTTGATAAGGCTTTCTCCCAGCAGCTACTAAATAACCAAATAATACTTTATGCTTGTGTATAATCCTTTAACCCTTTTAAAAACGATATATCCGTATAACCATTAAGACTAAAACCTTTCAGGGGCGCCTGGGTGGCTCAGATGGTTAAGCGTCTGCCTTCGGCTCAGGTCATGATCCCAGGATCCTGGGAT